CCTCCTCCTGCTCTTCCACTGGCTCTGCTTCTCCGTCCTCCCTCTCCTCCTCCTGCTCTTCTACTGGCTCTGCTTCTCCGTCCTCCCTCCCTCCCTCCCCCTGCTCTTCCACTGGCTCTGCTTCTCCGTCCTCCCTCCCTCCCTCCTCCTGCTCTTCCACTGCCTCTGCTTCTCCGTCCTCCCTCCCTCCTCCTGCTCCTCCACTGGCTCTGCTTCTCCGTCCTCCCTCCCTCCCCCTGCTCTTCCACTGGCTCTGCTTCTCCGTCCTCCCTCCCTCCCTCCTCCTGCTCTTCCACTGGCTCTGCTTCTCCGTCCTCCCTCTCCTCCCCCTGCTCTTCCACTGGCTCTGCTTCTCCATCCTCCCTCCCTCCCTCCCTCCCCAGCTCCCCTTCCTCCTTCTGGTCTCCTTTCTCTGACTTTCATGACCAACCTAGCGGGAAGCTTATTGGTTTTACTGATTTTTTTTTTTTCTTTTTTGTTTTGTTTTTGATACAGGGTTTCTCTGGGTAGCCCTGGCTGGTCTGGAACTCAGGAATCCCCCTTCCTCTGCCCACTGAGTGCTGGGTTTAAAAGCATGGGCCACCACCCAGCTTTGTTGATTTTTTTGTTAATGTTTGTTTGTTTTTTGTTTTTTCTGAGACAGGGTTTCTCTGTATAGCTTTGCGCCTTTCCTGGATCTCGCTCTGTGGACTAGGCTGGCCTCAAACTCACAGAGATCCAGCTGCCTCTGCCTCCCGGGTGCTGGGATTAAAGGCGTGCGCCACCACTGCCCGGCGATATTTTTCAAACAAGCTCTTTTCTATGTTGATTTTTCTCTGACATGTCTTTGTCATACCATCAACTTAAGCTCTTTTCTTTATTGTTTCCTTTCCATTTACTTATTTGGGGTTAATTTTTACTTTTTCTAGATTTATTAGCAGGAAGCTCAGATAATTTAATTTAGGCCTTAATTTGTTTCTGATATAAATATTCTGAGTTGCAAATGCCCTTGCCACAGCTATAGTTATACCCCGTGGGGTTTTAGACATTAATGTTTTCATTTATTTATTTTGCCATTGCTTTGATGGGCTAGATGAACTTACGCTGTTTGGTTTCCAAGTACTTATCTTACTTGTTTCTTGTTTCCTTATGTTATGATCTGAAAGAATATTTTGTGTGAATTTAGTCCTTTTAACTATATTGAGACTTTGGGCCAAGTATATAATCTTAGTGAAAACCCTATATACACCTGAAAAATAGGAATGTTGTGTTTCCGTTTGGTGGTGTGCCCTGTAAGCAGTTAGAGCACGTTGATTCATGATAGAGTTCCAGCGTCCTTACTGATTTTGTCCCTCTTTTGTGGTGGTGGCAGTGCTGGGGCTCACACTCAGGGCCTTGTGAGTGCACACTAGGCAAACCCTTTTGAGTTGCCCCTTGGCCCTGGTGACCGCTGCCATCCGTCACGCAGTAAGGAGTGGTCTCCTCCAGATGTGCTTGTGTGAGCTCCTTTCTGCCAGTTGCTTCATGTGCTTGAAAGTCGTCATCAGTTTGGGATTTGGGACCATCATCTTGTCAAGTAGCCAGTATGAGATGTTCATGCCCAGAAATTGTTGTCAAATATTTTTATAAAATCACTTTTTTGAAGTATATTTTTCTGTATTGTAGCCTCTTTTCTTTATTTATTTTAGGTGGGGGCCTCAATCTGTAGCCCTGGTTGGCCTTGAGCTCACAGAGATCCACATACCCTTGCCTAGTGCTGGGAATAAAGATGTGTGCCACCACACCCTGCCCTGGTAGCTTCTTTTATTGACTATTACTGAGAAATCATAAAATATTACCCAAGTATTTAGGGCAAAGGCCATATGCTCAGTATGCTGGTATTTTGACTGAATGTTTTATGACTGAACACACTTATTCTCACCCACAAAAGCGTTCACTTCTTGGTAAATGCAGATCCTGAATAAGTGGTGAGGGGAAGGGCGGCCCGTGCTCTGAAGAGGGAAGGCTCACGGGCAGTGAGTGCAGCTGCCTTTGCCCCTTGCACGCAGTCAGTCCTGTGCTCTTCGTATTGCTGTGCATACAGTTTTAAGAAGATTAACTTTAAAACAAAAATGTACGTCTGAGGGTCTGTGTGGATATGTACCCTTGAATGCAGTGCCCATGGAGGCCAGAAGTGTAGAACTCTCTAGAGCTGGAGTCACAGGTGGTTATGAGCTGAGTGCTGATATGGTGGTTTGAATAGGAATGACCTCACAGACTCACGTGTGTGAGTGCTTGGCCCATAGGGAGTGGCACAACTAGGGGGTGTGGCCTTTTTGGAATGGGTGTGGCCATGTTTGAGGAAGTGTGTCACTATGGAGGCAGGCTTTGAGGTTTTATATGCTCAAGCTACGCCCAATGTGGCACAGAGTCTTCCTTCTGCTGCCTGCAGATGGAGATGTACAACTCCTAACTCCTTCTCCAGCACCATGTCTGCCTACATACTGCCCCGTTTCCCACCATGATGATAATGGACTGAACCTCTGAACTGTAAGCCAGCCCCAGTTAAATGTTTTCCTTTATAAGAGCTTCTGTGCTCATGGTGCCTCTTCACGGCACTAGAAACCCGAACTGAGACAGCTGGGGATCAACTGGAGTCCTCTGCAACAACAGCCCTGGGTCATCTCAACCCTTGAGCCATGTCCAGCCTGGGTTATGCATTTTAAAGTGTTGTTTGCATGAGTGAGACAGTCTCAGTGATTGGAGCCGGGTTCCTCCTGATGCTTCTTCATCTTGGTCAAGAAATGAACTTGAGGGTGGGTTGGTAAGAGGCCTTGCCTGAGGGAGAATAAGTCAAGGACCAGCTGCGTGGACTTTGCTCCCTGGACAACAATGTGCTGTGTATTTTGATTTGTGAAAGCCTTGCAGCGGGTTCCTCATGGCCTCAGAGCTTCCTGAGTCCTCTCTATTGAGGAAACCTCCTACCGTGCAGGCCGATCCCACAATTCCTTCTGCAAACGCTGGTGTGTGTCCACAGGTGGCTCCCAAGGGACTGACTGGTTCTGAGCCTCTGCAGGAAACTCTTAAGTAAGGCATTTTTCTCTCACAACAAGAGTCATTTTTCTCCCAAAGGTAAAAATAAATGTCAAGTAAATCAGCAAGGCTGCCAGTTACTAAAGTGACTACAAGATCATTTCAACTGAACTTAAACAAACACTGTGCTTGGCACGTTACCCGTCAAAACTCCAAATAGCCCAGTGTGGTTTTAGCTTTTTTCTTATGCCAGTTTTAAAAAAAGAAAAAAAAGGGGTTGGTTCAGGACTCCTGTGTTTAAAATTCCTGTGTGATGGAAAAAACCTGGGTGGCTTCTAGCATTCTAGTTGTGACAGATGCCTTTCTCAGTTCTGTGGCCAACTTCAGGTATGCAGTGAGCCTCAGTGCGGTGCTAGTGAGTGCCAACACACAGAACAGGACGGTGGGGAACTCACTCACAGCATCTATGCTGGATCGCTGCAATTAAGAGGTTGAGTTCCTTGGAGACCTCCTTGAATTGC